AAAACGATTTGAGTTGATTTGAGTTAGCTTGAGTGTCAGTTGAGTGTAAACTTCAGTTAATAAAATTCTTGCAGCTACGCCTGTCATCGCTATCAAGCCCGAAATTCCGACTGTCCCGCAACGATCGCTGAGCTGAGATCCTGGCACTGCCTGCAGCTGCGCAGAAGGCAACCGAGAAGGTGGTGGAGGCATTCTGCCTCCACCACCTTCTTGGTTGCCACTCGGCCGTGCAAGGCAACCGAGAAGGTGGTGGAGGCAGAATGCCTCCACCACCTTCTTGGTTGCCACAGGCTTCACCCGACAGCCTGACCAGCTCGCAAGAGCACTTGAGTTCATCTTGAGTGCAGCATGCCAAACGACTTGAGTACAATTTGAGCTGATTTGAGTGTTATTTGAGTCAGGAAGGCTGGCAGGGGCACCTTTTTTATCACGTCGAGGGCTTCTCTGCTGCAGCAATGACGGCGACAGCGACATCGACCGCGAAAGGTTGTGGCAAAATGTCGCCAGCTGGTTGCGACTCCGTTGGGCTCTGGAGTATAATTATATCATATTAGGCTGCGGCCATGCCCAAAACCATACTAGTCCCCTTGTCAATCATTGCCTCGGTCCTATTTATGTGGCACTCTTGTACTTCGAGCTCTACTTAAAGCCTTCCCAAGCCCACGGTGTCACAGCAGCAGGCATGAAGGATCATGTGGCTTTCGAACCGACTGCGACGACCGACCCCGATTGAAAGTTCAGGCCGCTCCACCTACTGTGTCGCCGACGTCCTTTCAGCAGGCTCTGCCCCTGGAGGAGTGGCTGGGACAGGACCCGACTCATCCTGGGCAACTTCTTTGTACTCGCATTGGCCTGGAAAAAGCTTGCTCAACATACCTGATAGAGACTCTTGATACAAGCTGTGTTCGTTGTCACAGATCACGGCGATGGCAGCCTTGTCGATGCTGTTCTGCAGCCATGTCGAGTGTTCGTTATTGCAGGCCACGCCTGCGTATCGAACATTCAAGCGCATGGCAGCACTAGCCAAAGCCAGTCCTGCCGACATGTCCACCACTTGGTGTGCTTGGTAGTTCTTCAACAAAGCCTCGAAAAAGTTGGCGGACTTTGTTTCGTTCCACCACAAAGGCACTTGCGACTGCGACGACCAATCCTTCGGGAACCTCGGACGAAGTCAAGTTGCAATTACTTTGCCCAAGGATGACAATGACAAATTGCAGCGTGCGACTTCCCAGAGCAAGATGATACTAAAGCAGTCTGCGTGTGCCTGTGTTTGCGTTAAAAAGAATTTTGAGGTCAAGTTGCTGCACATCAGACACGGCCTTCTTGTCCAGGCCCAGAATGCCTGCCTTGCTGTTGTAGTTCATCAATGGCAGGCTCTCAGTCGGCGGGTAGAGCACGCCGGAGTAGGTCGTGAAAGCTGTCGTAGACTCATGCTCTTGGGCGTAGTCGTCCTGCAAGACCAGAGACATTAAACTGACAACGCTTATTATAGCTTCTGCCTGCTGGCACTGGCTGTCCTGGCGATCGACCGTTGCTAGTCTCACGCGCGGAACGTTCAGCACCATGAAGCAGTTCTCAAAATTCACCTGGGAACCGAATACTCGCCTCGTTGAGGACCTGTGTATCTTGCCGACATAGCATATCAGCATCTCCACGCACTCCGACTGCGACTGCGTGGCTTTGTCCAAACTCAGCTGGATTACCATGACATGATTCAAGTCGACTCAACACATCCGTGCTCAAGCAATCAAGACCAAGCCGAGGCACACCCGGCGTGCAGCCTTGGACCTGCCGTCGAAGAGGAAGCCGATGGCACCCGGGGTTTTCGCGACACTCTCCAGTAAGTGCTCGACCCGTGCCTTGAAGAAGTCCACTTGGGCAGGGGTCCCTTTGGGCGTCTCTTTCCACGCGGATGGGCTCTCCAGGCAAAGGTCTGCACTCAAGAAGAAAAGGACATGTTTCTCATTCAGCACGCCAGTGAAGCTGCCGGCGCGGAGCTTGGTCAAAGCGGCCTCGAGGCCTGCCGTTGTCCAGGATGTAGCGCTTTCGACCGCGACCAGCGACTTCCTGACATTGACCGCCTTCTCCCAAACCACCTGCGCGTGTATCAGAGAAAATGGGGCGGGAAAAGACTTTGGATGTGGAACACCAACTCATGCGAAACAAACCCCCGGATGCGGTCCTCTCGTTCATTCTGCAGGGCCAATCTGGTTGCCTCGCCGTCACCGTTCTCGTCGGAGTTGACACGAGCTAGCTGGCGCCAGCTAAGCCTGGGCATCACTTTCTGCTGGGTGTCAGCAGCTTGGTCAGCCTGCTCGTTGGCCGCGTCCAGCGCGTCAGAGAGCTCCTTCACAACAGTATGTGCAGTCTCCCCCTTTTCGATGAGGCTGACAACATCCACGATGTCTTCCTTGCAGACTTCGGCGATGCCTGCTTGGAACTGACCGTCAATCAAGCTGTAGCACCAGTCCAGCAAGGGCTCCATTTTCTTGAAACCACTGTCTGCAATGGCCTTCTTCTTCAAGGTCTCCATGCACGCGACAGACACGTTGTCGAAGCACTCGTCGACATCCATGACCTGTGCAGGCCAGGAAACTCGTACCCACATGAAGCTCAAATGCACTGGTCGTCAACCAAGCTTACAATGAAAGTGACAAAGTCCTATCTTCAGACTGTCCCTGCCTGGTGTCTTCACTGAATAGCTTAGGTGGTTTCCGGTGTAGCTCACAGTAAGATTAGATATTATCAGTAACATTTGACTAAGAGTCGGGATTGACAAGGGCACATACTACGTTCATGATTTGTTTTCATGGGCGAGTCTCACCAAAGAAGGACACTGACTCAAAATCACACCCTTCAACCATTTACAAAGGGAGTCTTGCCTGTCGCTGCTTCATGATCTCCTGTCTCCACACAACCGGGTTGGTCAAGGTTTCGATGATGGAGCACATATCCTTGGAGCAGATCGAGCTCTCCATGCGTCCGGCGAGCAAGCGTGCATGCTGGCCAAGCGAAAGGGTCTGGATGGCCGTCCGTGCCCAGCAACTCGGGTCGGTCACCTTGCTTCCTTCCTCGCCAGTCAAGAAGGACCCGATACACTCCTGAGGCTTCAGCTGCGTAGAGTCGAGTCCGAGACAGAGCATGCTCAGGAGCATTTCCATGCCGTCTTCGGGGTCGACTTTGACGCCGAAAGCCGGACCAGCCATGTGCTTCTTGATCAGGCAGAACATGCGGTACAACTTCGTGGTGCTCTCCGTAATCAAGGACCGGCCATACCGTGCCTCGAGATAGGACAACATCGACCTCGACCGCGACGTCAGCACCTTCACGATCGCAAGGGCCTGGGATTGACTGAAGAGAGACGAACCGACGAAAGAATCAGCCGAGCCCTTGACTTCACACAAGACAGCACATTGGAATTTGGAACTACTTGTCATCCATAAGTCCAAGTCATATTGATATTATTTTCAAATAAAATGACGGGCAAGAAGCCCCCGTGAGGGTGTTGCGTCCAATCTCCTTCTGACGGAACAAGACGCCATTCTCCTTGAGATACTCCAACTGCTTTGACGTCCCTCCGGGGCAGTCCTGGACGATGATGCTGAGCCTGTCTGCAAACAGCACTATGTTGTCGATAGTACACGTTGTCGCGATCGCACGGTGCTTCTCCGAGCTTTCCAAGGCAATCCTCATGACCTGTGCATTGCTCTCCCATAACGAGACTCGCAGGGTGCAGGTTTGGGCACACTCGTACAACTTGCCGACTCTCTCGTCGTCGGCAGCCTGCAGTGCATCGTAGCAGGCCGCCCACCAGGCGGCAACCACCAAATGGTTGCTCAGAAGTTTGAGACTCTTGGGAAAAGGGCCCATCGTAACTTCCGCCGTGCTCCGGCAGGCAGTGTCCAAAGTCACAGGGAAGAGGATCCGGCCCTGGAAGTGAACACTCGGCTTGAACAAAGCCTTCGCTTCCTGCAACTGCGACCACGACCCCAAGTGAATCGGCATCGCGTGTGCCGTGCTGCTGCTGTCTGGCGCAGCATCCGCCAGCGAGTCGGCCGGGTTGAAACTGCACCAAAGCGCACTGCCCCCTGCCTCGTACAACTTGTTTCGTTCCAAGCTGACCTCTGCGTTGTTTCTGGTCCACATCTCCTTGTAGGAGGCGTGCACCGTCGCAGCAATCTTGCGTTTTTTCGAGCTGCCAGATCCTCCCGAATCGGCAGCGCTCAGGACATACTCTGGCAGCTTCATCGGCGCCGCATTGCAGATGTCGGTCAAGGAGTTGGGCACTGCTTTGTTTTTTTTCAGCACTAGCAACATTCGCTCTGCGACCTTAGCGAGCAGCAATTCCTCAACTGGGATGCCAGTCAAACACCGCCTGTCGCTCAGAACACCTCAAGAAAGCATGCAGCCAAGCGGCCACAGGCTGCATGACACGCATAATCTCGAGCGCATTGGAACTGTACGGGTGCTTGTCCGCCAACTGAATCAGCTCTCCCAAAGTAGCCATTCCACAGGACAGGAGACCGCGACAGCGACTACGACTACGACCGCCTCAAGGTCAGAAGCCAAGAATCTGCAATCACATACAGAAACTTCTGAAGCTGCGAAGCAAGGACATGTCTC